CAGTTGCTGCTTCATTAAAGGTTACACATGTTAATTGATGCTTGTCAACAACTTTTAGGAACAACTTGAGAAATCCCTACCACCTTGAGAAATAATTATTCATTCCTTTTTGTCAGATGATCCCTGCGTTGGGGAAAAGCTGTGGTAAACTCATCATCTTGACAGAGAAAAACACTGTCCTGAAGAGAGGGTGGCATTTGAAGGAGTAAAAGAAGATGCCAGACAGCGGGATTTATTAATAAATCAGGCAGTGCAAAGACCAAAGGAGTAGTAGAGCTTTTGCAGAAAAATATAAAAATAAAAGACAGATTGAGAGTTGTACTGGAATGCCTCCCACAAAAATCACTCCCACTCTTCCTCCTGTGCCCACGCACTCTCTGTTACTGTGACGTCCACTCTTCTTTTTTACTCCTACACTCGGTTGTGGAGGCGTTCTGTTCTCCTCTCATTCATACAGTGCCGCACTATTTCCATACTCATGAGTGGACAGCGCAAAAGGATACAAAAAAAAAAGTCCTGCAGAGGAAGAAGGAGGGAGGAAGCACCATGTTTGGCTCCATCGGACACATCAGATTTCCGATCATGCTGGGATCGTGATCAGACCTTCCACGGGTGCCAGACTCTCCAGATGGAATCATATTTCCGATAATCACGCTGAGACATGAGTGTTTATGTTGTGCAATGCAACAGAGCTGATTTTACAACTCGCTGTTGGATCGACACACGATGGTCCTCATCAGACATCACAGATTCTGATCTCCGGGTTTAGTCACAAGGTCAAAACGTGTGCTTCTAAAATACATATTAAGAGTTCATATTCGGTATGACTCGGCTTTTCTTTAAAACTGTTCAAAAGGTGGACAAAGGGATTTTAACGGAGTTCATTAGGAGTCTGATGTGTTGTGGATAAAGTGACAAAACAGTTGGCAGAGTTTTCACTTTCTCAAATAACACAGAAGCTTAAAGTAACCAGCATGAATCCGAGGTTTCACCACCAAGTGCGAAGGAGGATCAGACTTTTCACCAATTGATCCTCTTCCGTTAAAACCATTTGTTGGCGAAAACAGAGAGCAGTACAGCATTTCAAATTTCCTGCTAATGGCCTGTGTTCTACAGCTAATAATGGATCTACAGACAGATGGAGACATCAAGTAGCAAGAGAGGAGGTGGAGGAAAGGTTCAAGGTCACAACTCACAAGCACAGTTATGAAAGCATTGTCTACATGAAAAAATAGATCTGATGGATTAATAAATGCATTAACATCATGATATTTGATTTAGATTAATAATGAACATAAACCTAACAGTGTCAGGTGGAGGAAAACACTGATGATCATTCATGAAAGAAACTAAATGTTTACATGTTGTTCCTATTTGAGTCCAGCTGTAATTAGCATTACAGCACAGTTTAAAACATGTCCACTGAAAATGTCCATCCATTTACTTCCACTTATCTAAGGACGGGTCGTGGAGTTAACAGATCCCTGATACACATCTCCTCAGACATTCGGATACATAATTCCTTAAGAGAGTGATTGGTCTTCCAAGGTTCCTGTGGGACACACCTAGCTCCAGTAGAAAGTAAGCAGCAGAAATCCTAATAAGATGCCACCTCAGCCAGGGGTGGACAGGCCATCTGGCATACTGGGCCGGGGATGGATAAATGCCAGTGCTGAAATCTCTTCCCAGTCCAGACCTGACGTCAGCGGATTCCTTTCAATGTGGAGGAGCTGCAGCTCTACTTCAAGCTCCCTTAAGAACATTGAGCTCAGCCACCTTGCGGATGAAGTTTACTTTGGCTTCTTACATTTGTGGTCTTGTTTGCTCCTTCTTTGAATTTTGCCACGGCCGGACTTTTCCACCAGAGACGTAAAGCATTGTGTAACGTAGTACGCAGCAATAAGCCGGCCAGCTGTGAAGCGTTCAGTTTTGGATGTGTCCCACAAATGTAGAGATGCATCCTTCCTTCTAATTTCTGCTTTAGATCGTTTTTTTTTACATGCTACACTTGCAGAACGCTTTAAGCTCAGCAGTTCAGACCGGACCAGACAGGAAGTCAAAAATGAAAACTGCGTACCCCTGTTTCGGCCTTAAACAGGTTACAGGTTGTTCAGAATGCTGCTGCCAGGTTCCTAACCAGCCCTCACCGTCATAGCCACATTATTCCAGTGCTGGGACAGCTTAACTGGCTTTCGGCGACCTTTAGGGTGCGTTTCAATGTCCTGATCTTCACAGTCAAGGTGTTCAACAGCCTGGCACCTCCCTACTTGTCTGAGTTGCTTGCCTCTTACATCCCCCATGCCATGCCTACACTGAGGTGTGCTGATCTGCTGCTCCTATCCGAGGATGAGATGTATATCACGGGGGAACAGACTTTTCATATGCTGCCACGTCACTCTGGAACTCACTTCCTGTTTTGGTCGCCCGTTTTAAATCTCATCTAAAGACCCACTTTTATGCCTTGGCTTTTAGTCGTTGAATTTTATGTTTTGTACTGTGATTTTATTGATTAACTGTTCTTATTTGTTGTTCTGATTTGATTTGCACTTAGTTGTATGTATGTTACTGATGTACTGCGTTTGGTCAGCTCCCATGCTGGGTTTAAACGTGCTATATAAATAAAATGGTATGGTAAAAAAAAAGTGTTGTTGCTGACCATGGCCATCCCTTTATGACCACAGTGTACCCATCTTCTGATGGCTACTTCCAGCAGGATAATGCACCATGTCCTAAAGCTCCAATCATCTCAGACTGGTTTCTTGAACATGACAATGAGTTCACTGTACTCGAATGGCCTCCACAGTCACCAGATCTCAATCCATTAGAGCATCTTTGGGATGTGGTGGAACGGGAGATTCACATCATGGATGTGCAGCCGACAAATCTACAGCAGCCGTGTGATGCTATCATGTCAATATGGACCTCAGAGGCATGTTTCCAGTACCTTGTTGATTATGTGCCACAAAGGATTAAGGCAGCTCTGAAGGCAGAAGGGGGTCCAACCCGGTACTAGCAAGGTGTACCCAATAAACTGGCCAGTGAGTGTATGCTGTTTAAGTCCTTTTGGGTCTTTCAGCACCAAGCAGCGGAAATGAGAGACTAGTCCAACATCTTAGGGTCCCACAGAGGCTCCAAGGACACAGTTAATGCAAACATTGAAGTCATTTTCCAGAATCATAAGCCCTCTCAAAACAAAAATCCATTCTGATTGGATTTGCTTACTTTGTTAAAAAGCTTCTGAATGTACTGCCTCTCATCTTTCAGAAGATCTGTCATTTCTAACTGCTTTCTTAGATACAATTTGCATTCAAACACACAATGATGCAGAAAATAGCTCTTATGTGTAATTTCAAGTGAGAGAGATTCTGGCTCTATGTCCTCTGTCCTGTTTTGGGTTGGCGCATGCTGCGTGGCGAGGTAATCTGTATTTGGCCCAGCTCAGGAAAGGTGGTGGAGGTGGAGGGGGTCAGGAGGGTGTGGTGAAGGTGGTTGCCTCTGTGCATGACCCGCTCAGAAGAAAGGTCACAGCAACACAAACCTCCTGACACATTCCCTGACTGTATCATAAACACGTCCTGGAAAACACGGCCGACCGGGAACAGGAACACAGTGAGACACGCGCTGCAGTCACAAGGTTTTTGTCACATTTTGACTTATGAAGTTTCGTTCTTTGAAATCTCAGTGGAGCATGAAATAATTTTCACAAAATGTTCTTTTAACATAATCATTCTGTATTACCCTTGTAACATTTTGGACGGATTATCATCCCAAAGCTCTTTGAAGGTGATTTCAACTCTTAAATTGGGTCTCAGTTTAGCTGTGTTAGCAAACAACCTGCAGGATTAAGTTACTTAGAGAGGTAAAACCTTTGAAAGCTCCAGAGCACGGTGGTAATAACTGACCTTAACCCCATACGTGACAATTGCTGTCGCTGGCTCTGCAGGTAATTTCCACCATTTCATTTTAATAATAAACACTTGCAAGCACAGAATGAATCCATGAAAATTTGCACAGCATCACTTATCTGTGAAAGCAAGTTACTTTCATTGAACTTGAATTATTAGTTAATGTGATTAGAAATCTGTCTCTGATAGATATTTTGGAAAACTTCCTGTTAAAGTGATTTGATCCAAAGGTGAACGAAAGTTTGACTCACGAGATTGGCTTAATTTAGAAACATTGTTCCCAGAAAGCGTTAGAGTAAAGAACAACTGGAATGGTTATTTTAAAATCCCACAGCGTTCCTGAAAGCATCACAAGCTGACACGTGAGATCGATTCTGACATAACACTGAAGCGGATGAAAGAGTTAGTTTCAGCTGAAAAAAATGGAGGAAATGTGTTGAGTTGAATTTTGTTTAAATCACAACGTTTAAATATTTTCTTTCAAATGACTTTTAGTTGACCTGACCTTTCAGTTATCCTGAAAGCCTTCCTGACTCCCCTCGGAGTGACATTACATTCCCAGGTCAGAGGTCAAGGCCTTATCAGACATGTTTAAGAAGACATCTTGGGGTCAAGGGCTCTGCTCGCCTCTCCGGTGACGAAAGAGGAAACAAGGGATAGGGTTCCGGCAATAAATGAAAGACGAGATCAGACTTGAAAGGCGGGGGTTATCTGGTCCTCTCTGCGGGAACAAATCGATCCATTTGTGTTTGAGGGGTGAAAGGGTTCACTGGCCGCGGTCCCAGCAGAAGAGCTGAGGTGAGGGCTGAAGGGCCGTGTGCAAATGTTGTTTTAGGGGCTGATCTTAAATCATCACATTTTATATATTTTTTGCTGAGGGCTATTTTAAAATATATAAATAATAATTATAAAAACAAAAAAAGAACAAAAATCTGAGTAACTAAAATGGGAGCCACTTCAAATAAAAAAAAATGTGTTGATGCTGCCCTCTAGTGGCTATGTTGGATCATGCACCTGCAAAATATCAATTACTAACCAGTTAATAGGAATATTCTACAAATAGTTTTATTGCAAGAAATACACTGCATGCGATGGGAAAATTATATAATCTATTTGTTTATTGCTTGCTTCCAAATGCTAGATTTTGACATAATTGCTCAAAAGGTGACAATGAAGCCAAGTTGGCTTTAAACCCTAAATACACTGAATGTGTTTTATCTAAATGTGCAACCTTGACATCTTAATACTCTAGGGTAGTCTTGATGGCCAATGTAATTCAGTATAAAGATTTTAAAAAGTAAAGTTTACAAACTGGATCTGTCATGCACACAAGGAATCCTGCAGGTAGATGTAAGCATTCAGTACATGTGCATCTTATAGGGTTAAAAAATAAGTGAGGAAAAGATTGTCTTTTTGGTTCATTTTTGGGTTTTAGACAAGGCAACAAGGGCGTGCAACTGTATCTATGGAGACATTACAACCCACACACAATTTCAAAACCATTCACATTCGAATAATCTGCACACACACACACACACACACACATGCGCACACGCATCACTTGTCCATTTCAGTGCTGTTTCTTTCTGCTTCTGTGGTATTCAGACATTTAGCGTTTGTTTTTTGATACATGGAATTTCAGATAAACAACATATTCTTATAATAAACTTTTATAAATAAAAGAAAATGGGCTTAATAACACACAAACAGGATACAGTAATAACCTGAGGAGAGTATGTTTAACTATGTTAAAGAGGAATGATTTGTATTTACAACAGAGTACATAACTGTGTCTGCAACGCGGAGGTGAAACGGAAGAAGTGGTGAGTCCCATCCTTTTCATTAGTAGGTTTGAACAAGTTATATTTATAATAATGTGAACTTAAATGTTTGAACTGGGTGTCAGTGGGAGAGAAGGAAAAGTAAACAAAAAAAAAACAGAAGGCAAAAGGCAGACAATTACATTTCAATAGCACCTGACTTCCACAAACAACCCTTAGAAAATGAACACCAGTTAACCAGTTTCAGGGGCTTGAACTCAGTGCAGTGGGAAACTGGGCGCCATTCTTTTTCCTGTTGTTTCAGCTCGGAGCAAAAAGGCCCTTTGGTCTCTGTGTTTTGGTTTGTAAAGTTTAATATCTTGGCTTGGTTTAGCTTCTCCTGCTTCTCTCTGTTCACACATGCCAGGCAGGGACGTAGCACCATCAAAACAGGGAGTAAGGCCGAGCTCAGGATGCTGACACATGTCTTTAGGGGCCTTTATGTCCTCTTCATGCACACCTGACAACGGCTTATGTGTGTTTGGAGACTGCCAGCTTTTAGCGTTGTCGGAACAGGTTTCCTGGAAAAAATGAAAAAATAATTAAACACAGCAGGTAAATTTGATGAAATTTTAATTAAAAATGAACTAAATAAAAGCTTGTCTATGCTAGCCTAGCTATCTAGACAAATTGTAGTAGTAGCTAAGAGTTTTGCACTACAGTTGGGTCTAGCCATGCTCCATTGTAGCCTCAGCAGGTCTACCATTGACCCAAACAATTCTGTCCAATCACAGTGCCTTATGTTTGTGGGGTGATGGTGGCAGAGGAGTTTAGTGCTAGCCCTGTAACCAGAGGGTTGCAGGTTCGAGCCCCACTCAGTCTGTCACAGTCTTTGGGTAAGACACCTCATGCTCCATGCCTGTTCATTTCAGTTCATTTATATAGCGCCAAATCATGAAAAGAGTCGTCTCAATGGGCTCTGCAAAGTAATCAATCCAATACAGGTCAGTTCATTATGCCAGCCAGTAAAAAGTTTCCTATATAAGAAACCCAGCTAATTGCATCAAGTCACTGACTGGTGTCAATGTCTTTACAGCAATCCTCATACTAAGCAAGCATGCAGCGACAGTAGAGAGGAAAACTCCCTTTTAGCAGGAAGGTGGTGGTTGCAGAAACAGGTGGTGCCAGTATATTGCAGCCTTGTTTCTGTAAGTTTTACAATGCAGCTCATCACCGCCAGTGTGTGTGTGTGTGTGTGTGTGTGTGTGTGTGTGTGTGTGTGTGTGTGTGTGTGTGTGTGTGTGTGTGTGTGTGTGTGTGTGTGTGTGTTTTGTAAAGCACTATGGGGTGTTGAAGAAGCCCAGAAGGCACAATGTAAATACAGGCCATTTTCCATTTTTAACATTTCAAGAGAGACGTTTGACGGGCTTAGCCCCAGAGCTGCATCGGAACTCCTGGCAGTGGCTAAGGAACGGCGCTCAATTGAAAAGGCTTTAGCATTAACTTTGGGTGATTTAAACCTGAGCTTTGAGGCATGCACACATAGGTACTTCTTCAGCGGTGTAGGAAGACTGCCCTGTTGATTTTTGTCGCTATAAATACGTAACATTGTTCATTGTTCTGATCGGTCCCAGCAATGTCCAATTATGTGCCGAGACAATTTGAATGGCAACCGTAGATCCTGCCCCAGAACCAGTGTTTTACCCTAAACCATGTTCATCACTAGAGGGTGCAGATGTGCATATTTGGTTTTTGAGCTCAACTGTATTTTAGAGTCAAAATGTGAGCTTCAACCTAGGTAGGTTACCAAAACTGAGCTTTCCAGAGAGTTAGTTAGATTAGTCTCTCCTGAAGGAAAAATAAGTCTGAGATTAAGCGGTCCAGCTTACTTGAACATATCATCGTCTTCAATGGTGGCGAGCCAGAAGCTGTAGGAGTTGGCGTAGTAGTTGCAAGTTCCTCGGCCATGACACTCAATGAACGGAGCACTGCGGAATTCCTCCAGACAGGACCCAGGAGAGGCCAAGGCCTGGCCCGAACCCTCAGCACCTGCACTTGTGTGCTAAAACCACAAAGCACAAAAAAAATAAATAAAAATAAAAACACTTTACTTTCTGTTGTTGTTTTTTTGTAACTAAAAATTCCATTTCTGGCATTTTTTGAGCAAAATTATCCAACCCTGTTTCCAAACAAAAGTTTGAATACAAGGCCATCTTGAATTTGATTGGCTCCGAACGGTTATCAGCTGCACGGCCATCTAATCTACTCTCTAATTTTCTACCCACAATGCACTTGTTCTCCGGAGCGACTGAACTCACCATTACAAAGGAGTAGCCAATCCAGAGAGAGTTCCAGCCTTCAGGACATGGTGGGATCATGATGGTCTGACTGTGAACAGCTATCACCATCGCTGGAGCTTCACACACAACACACCTGCACACACACACACACACACACACACACACACACACACACACACACACACACATGAGAACAACACACCTAATAATATCACACACCTGACAGCACAATGTTAAGGGGAAAACCAGCTAACACACCTGCTGATGAAGGGTTTGATGCTATTCCCGGTGATAGGTGCCATGCTCATGGGCATCGGCTCCGGTGAGGTGAGCCAGTAGGAATAATCATTACGGGATGCAAAGTTGCACACATTGTTGATGTTACAGAACAGGAAGGGCATGGGGCTGAACTTTCTCAAACAGCTTCCTGCCGTACCTAAAACATAAAATTAAAAACTTACAATTAGAGGCCGACAGATATGGGTGTTTTTAAGGCCGATGCCAATATCGATTTTTGAAGAATTTTGTTTTTGATGGCCGATGTCTAAAGCCGATTATTAAGGCTGATATATATGTTTTAGCAGCTCATTGGTTGTGAAAGACAACTGAACACTCACTGTGTGCAACATAAATTAAATATGTCAATAAATCTCTTAATATCTATTGAACTTCAAATATAAAACAAACTCAATACATTTAAATAAATGGTGTGTTGGGGTCCTTCGGGTCCTTTTTTTCAGTCTAGTAGTGGCAGCAGTTGGCCACACAGGTGCCTAATTTTTTAACTTTTAAAATGTTTTATCAGCTTTTAAAAATAATTTCGATATGGAAAAAATTGAATATTTTGGCCAGTTACAATTCTGCTTCAATGCTTTGTTCCTGCTCTACGCATCTGTCACTGATTCTCACCTAAGTCTTGTCCATGGGAGCGTTCGTTTCCTTGAACATAAAGTAAAGAATAGCCATCGTAAATGATTCTCGTCCCGTACGGACATGAAGGAATGTCCACCGTCTGGCTGTGGCGTGTCACCAGGAAGCCATGTTCCATCGACGCTGGACCAGGTGGGCCAACTTGACCTGGAACCCCATCAGGTCCTGGGGGACCACTATCTCCTCTGGGCCCTGAACATATGAAATGATGGATAAGTTGAAACGCATCAGCACAAAACTAAACAACTACTGTTCTTTCCTGTGTAAATCTCACCTTGTGGACCAGGAAAACCAGGCTCTCCTTTGGCACCTGGCTGACCGTTAAATCCAGGGAGACCATGGTCACCTTTTGGACCTGGAATACCTGTCATACCTGAATCACACAAAGCAACAATAATGTAAAGTTATCATGAGGAACAAATATCACATGAAATCATTTTAAACGTAGCTGACCTTGCTGTCCTTTCTGCCCAGGGAGACCAGATGGCCCCTGGGGGCCCGGAAAGCCCTGAATCCCTGGGAATCCAGCTTCTCCTTTTATAAAGATCTGAGAGCCAGGCGGACCAGGGGGGCCTTCGTTACCTATAATACACAGTTTAATTAAACAATTTTAAAAATAACTCAGTTCCTGGGCTGCCACCTGACCGTGGTGGAGGGGTTTGAGTGTCTCAATGATCCAAGGAGCTAAGTTGTCTGAGGCTTTCTGCCTCTGGTAGGGTCACCCATGGCAAACAGGTCCCAGGTGAGGGGTCAGACAAAGAGCAGCTCGAAGACCTCTTATGATGAATTATATAAATGGAAATCGTGTTCCCTCGCCCAGACGTGGGTCACCAGGGCCCCCCTCTGGAACCAGGCCTGGGGGTGGGGCACGTTGGCGAGCACCTGGTGGCCGGGCCTTGATCCATGGAGACTGGCCGGGGACAGCCCGAAGAGGAAACTTGGGTCCCCCTTCCCATGGGCTTACCACTCGTGGGAGGGGCCAAAGGGGTCAGGTGCAGTGTGTGACGGGTGGTAGTCGAGGGTGGGGACCTTGGGGGTCTGATCCTTGGCTACAGAAGCTGGCTCTTGGCACATGGAATGTCACCTCTCTGGTGGGGCAGGAGACTGAGTTGGTGTGTGAGGTTGAGAGGTCCCGACTAGATATAGTCGGACTCACCTCAACTCATGGCTCTGGCTCTGGAACCAGTTTCCTTGAGAGGGGTTGGACTTTCTACCACTCTAAAGTTGCTCCCACTGAGAGGTGCCGAGCAGGGATGGGCATACTAGTTGCCCCCCATCTTGGTGCCTGTACGTTGGGGTTTACCCCGGTGAATGAGAGGGTAGCCTCCCTCTGCCTGCGTGTGGGGGGACGGGTTCTGACTGTGGTCTGTGCTTATGCACCAAACTACAGTTCAGACTACCCACCCTTTTTGGAGACCTTGGAGGGGGTGCTGGAAAGTGCTCCTTCTGGTGACTCCCTCGTTCTGCTGGGGGACTTTAACGCTCACGTGGGCAACAACAGTGAGACCTGGAGAGGTGTGGTTGGGAGGAACGAACCCCCTGATCTGAATTTGAGTGGTGTTTTGTTATTGGACTTCTGTGCCAGTCATGGATTGTCCATAATGAACACCATGTCCAGACATAAAGGTGTCCCTATGTTCTCTTGGCACCAGGATTCCTTAGGCTGCAACTCGATGATCAACTTTGTTGTTGTTTCGTCTGACCTGCATGTCTTGGACACTCGGGTGAAGAGAGGGGTGGAGCTGTCAACTGACCACTACCTGGTGGTGAGTCGGCTCAGATGGTGGGGGAGGACGCCGGTCAGACCAGGCAGGCCCAAACATATCGCGAGGATCTGCTGAGAACATCTGGCAGAGTCTCCTGTCTGAAGGAGCTTCAATTCCCACCTCTGACTGAACTTCCAAAATATTCCGGGGGAGGCGGGGGACATTGAGTCTAATTGGACCCTGTTCCATGCCTCCATTGTTGAGGCGGCCGACTGGAGCTGTGGTCGCAGCATCGTCGGTGCATGTCGTGGTGGCAACCCCCGAACCCGCTGGTGGACACCGGCAATTAGAGATGCTGTCAAGCTGAAGACAGAGTCCTATCAGGTCTTTTTGGCCTGTGGGACTCCAGAGGCCACTGACAGGTACCGGCAGTCCATGCGGAACGCGGCTCGAGTGGTTGCCAAGGCAAAAACCCGGGCATGGGAGGAGTTCGGTAAGACCATGGAGCAAGACTTCCATACGGTTTTGAAGAGATTCTGTCCACCATCCGGTTCCTCGGGGGAGAAGGGGGTGGGGGGTGGGGGTGGGGGGGCTTGCAGTGCACTACCAACACTATCTACAGTGGGGACGGTGTGCTGCTGATCTCTACTCAGGACGTTGTGGATCGGTGGGCAGAATACTTCGAAGACCTCAATCCCACCGACACGTCTTCCAGTGAGGAAGCAGAGTTTGGGGACTTTTGGTTGGCCTCTCAAATCTCTGGTGTTGAGGTCACTAAGGTGGTTAAAAAGCTCCTCTGTGGCAAGGCTCCAGGGGTAGATGAGATCAGCCCAGAGTTCCTTAAGGCTCTGGATGTTGTGGGGCTGTGTTGGCTGACGTGGCTCTGCAATATCACGTGGACATCGGGGGACCTGGTAAGGCCTATTCAGGGGTTCTGGAGAGGAGGGCCCATCAGATTGTTGAACCTCAGATTCAGGAGGAGCAATGTGGTTGTCGTCCTGGCCGTGGAACACTGGACCAGCTCTATACCCTTAGGGGGATCCTGGAGGGTGCGTGGGAATTTGCCCAACCAGTCTACATGTGTTTTGTTGATTTGGAGAAGGCGTTTTACCGCGTCCCTCGGAGGGCCCTGTGGGGGGTACTCCGGGAGTATGGGGTACCAGACCCTCTGATACGGGCTGTTAGGTCCCTGTATGACCGGTGTCAGAGGTTGGTCCGCATTGCCGCCAGTCAGTCGGGCTCGTTCCCAGTGAGAGTTGGACTCCGCCAAGGCTGCCCTTTGTCACCGATTCTGTTCATAACCTTTATGGACAGGATTTCTAGGCACAGCCAAGGTGTGGAGGGCATTGGTTTTGGTGGCCTGAGGATCAGGTCTCTGCCTTTTGCAGATGATGTGGTCCTGTTGGCTTCATCAGAACGTGATCTTCAACTTTCGCTGGAGCGGTTCGCAGCTGAGTGTGAAGCAGCTGGGATGAAAATCAGCTCCTCTAAATCTGAGACCATGGTCTTGACTCGGAAAAGGGTAGAATGCCTTCCCCGGGTCAGGGATGAGTTCCTGCCCCAAGTGGAGGAGTTTAAGTATCTCGGGGTCTTGTTCACGAGTGAGGGAAAACTCTGGAGTGTGAGATCGATAGGCGGATTGGTGCTGCATCTGCAGTGATGCGGGCGTTGTACCGGTCTTTCGTGGTGAAGAGAGAGCTGAGTCAGAAGGCGAAGCTCTCGATTTATTGGTCGATCTACATTCCTACCCTCACCTATGGTCATGAGCTTTGGATAGTGACCGAAAGAACGAGATTGCGGATACAAGCGGCCGAAATGAGTTTTCTCCGAAGAGTGGCTGGGCTTTCCCTTAGAGATAGGGTGAGGAGCTCGGTCATTCGGGAGAGGCTCGGAGTAGACCCGCTGCTCCTCCACATCGAGAGGAGTCAGTTGAGGTGGCTCGGGCATCTGGTCAGGATGCCTCCTGGACGCCTCCCTGGTGAGGTTTTCCGGGCACGTCCAACCGGGAGGAAACCTAAAGGTAGACCCAGGACACGGTGGAGGGACTATGTCTCTCACCTGGCCAGGAAACACCTTGGTATTCCTCCGGAGGAGCTGGCCCAAGTGGCTGGGGAGAGGGAAGTCTGGGCCTCTCGCCTTAGGCTACTGCCCCCGCGACCCGACTCCGGATAAGCGGATGAAAATGGATGGATGGATGGATAATACACAATTTAATTAAACAAATTTAAAAATAACTCAATCAGCTTCAACATTGAGTTTTAGTATTAGGACATGAAAGGGATTTAATTTTCTTATTTACCTTTTTCTCCAGGGAATCCTCTGTCGCCCAATTCTCCTTTGAATCCACCATCGCCAACAACACCCTTTGTGCCTAAAGTTTGCAAATGAAAAATATTCAAAAAGAGCTGAAATTTTAAATGAAAAATACTTTTTAGGGATCAAAGTGAGGGCTGTTGCTGATCAATCCAAACACACCACAACTCAGATTCAGGAGTTGTGTTTTCCTCTGAGGTTTGCATGAGTTTAATTCTATTTGTTTAAACTCATTCTGCCAAAAATCAAAGAATGTTTCATGATAGCATGAGCCTTTAATTTTTAGTGAAGCCCGCCTTTAAATAAAACACATACTCACACATTACTTAATTTTTATCTTCTGAAGAAATGAAATGCACATGTCAGGTACGACGTACCTGGGAATCCAGGAACACCCTGTAATCCTCTTTCTCCCTTCTGGCCATCAATACCTGGGAGACCAGGTGGACCCTGAAAGCAGCACAGTCAAACTAAGAAATGGTCTGCTTTTGTAGCTCTCACTGACATACTTTCATCAGCCATCTGTCAGGTAAAAAATCTCTAAAATAAAAAGATTTGAATGGTCTTAAAAACCTACAGAAATTCCAGGAAATCCAGGGTCACCCTTGCGTCCCATCTCTCCCTGAAAACCAGGCAGACCAGAATCACCTTTGCCTCCTTTGAGGCCATCTCTGCCAGGCACACCAACAGGTCCTGGTTCTCCTGGGGAACCTGGTTTTATGTGAACAACCCAAGTTATCATTTGTATTTAACAACCCAAGTTATCATTTTTATTTCAGATTTTACACGATGCCCTTTATTTTGATGAAAATTTTGCAAATACTTTATAAAAGATACCTGTTTCACCAACTGGCCCTGTCTCTCCCCTCTCTCCTTTAGGCCCTTCTAGAGAAATGCCTTGAGGACCTGGCTCTCCTGGCTCCCCCTGGAGTCCTTCTGGACCTGGAAGACCCTTATCTCCTCTGGTACCAGGAATACCTGGTTGGCCTGACATGCCAGGTAAGCCTGGACTACCTTTATCACCTGGAGAAGAAAAGAAGAAGTCAACGCATTATTTTAGGAATATGTAAAGTAGCAATGTGTAGTTTTACCCTTAATCTCTGGAAATATCCATTGAAATGTTATTGTAAATTAATTAAAAGATACTCAGCTGTTGAAAAATATTGGCGGTTACATAACATATAACCATTAAAATCGGGTCTAAAATATATGGGAGCGGGTCTAAGTCTCTGGGCGATGCCATATTGGAAGCCATGTTTCTTTCTACGGAAGCCCAAGAGGACAGAATGCATTTATTGATTTGTAACAAGTAGTTACAAAACTTTTGTCATTAATACACATTGTTCTTTTACACATTTACCTCTTCACGTATTGCAAGTGACGAAAAGGAATCTGATGTTCTTGTTATTTTGCTGGAGGTTGCACTCTCATGGATTTTTGACCCTAATGGCCATCTGTTGGTAAGGTCTTACTTGAACACAAAAATAATGTTTGCTTGCAGTGATTTAGGTATATACTGCCCCCTATCGCCAGGAAAAATGCACACTGTCACTTTAAGGTGAGTAGGGTGGGCGTTGTTTAAAGGGTGTGCCTTACCTTTGACACCATGTACTCCAGGTGTTCCAGGCAGACCCACACCAGGAGAACCTACAAAACAGGACAGAGGAGAGTCAGTGGTTAGGAGATAAGCAGCATTAGTTCCATTCAGATTTTACTTTAACATTAATACCAGATAAATATAGTTGAAATCTAAAGCTAATGAATTTCTTTATTTAATTAACCAAATTGAAGCGAAACTTAATTGATTGCTTCTAACAGATTTATTTATTTATTTTTTTATTTATTTAGGACAGTGCAAGTTAATGAACATAAATGTAAAAGCAGCTTACATGAATGCAAACATGCCAGATTATAGCCAAAGGCTAATTTCCATCTGTTGTCTTTAGACATAAAAAGACATAATAATTCATAAAAATTCATCATTCATTCATAATAAAAAAAACATCACCAAACTTACACATACACACCATTCTATTCACAAATAAATCATTAAAACTATACAACTCATACATGACCACACACTTGATTTGTCCATAACCAGTTTTTAACCTTTGCCTTAAACAAATTGAAAGTCGAGCATTCTCTAATGGGTTGAGGAAGACTGTTCCACAGGTGGCCACCCTTGACAGAGAGGACTTTCTGTCCAAAAGCTGTCTGTCTATGTGGTATAAACATTTCTCTTCGAATTGTAGCTCGTGTAGTCCTGTTTGAGCTTTCTTTATGCCTAATGAACTGCTTTAGTGGTGGTGGAGCAAGGGAGTGTAAGACTTTATATATTAAACAGACTCTTTTAAGTTTCATTAAGTTATTGAAGTTCAGTAATTTATGTTTTTTAACACATGACAATGGTGGTGGGAAGTCGGTTTTTTGTCAAGTAATTTTAAACTTCTTTTATAAATGTTTTCAATAGTTTTAAGTGCTGTTGGACAAGCAAGAGACCAGGATGTCAAACAATTGCCCATATGAGAGATGATCATTGAGTAAAAATAAGTTTTTGCAACATTCATATTTAGATTATTACATATATGAATACAATTTTGATTATTAAATTTAAGTACCTGGGACACTTTATTTATGTGACTATTGGCTATGACTATGAAGATGTGGATTACCAACCTGGTTCTCCTCTCTCGCCAGTGGATCCGGGGATGCCATCTTCTCCAGGATCACCCTTGTCTCCACGAGGACCAGGAGGTCCCTGCATGCCACCTTCACCTGAACAAAATAATTTCCACCCGTTCTCATTAACTGTTTTTTTAAGGAAAAAAAACACGATCAAGCTTTCTTTAGCAAACTCCCAACTATTTCAACAAAATGGTGTTGCATACAATAGTATACGAAGTTGTCCATGTGGAGTGAATCAGTCATCAAGGTATAAACAGAACATCACAATAATTATATATTAACAAAGACATGAACCTCACTTGTTGAATAAAGGGATACTTTGCAGTTTGGCTGGCTTTTAGCACCCCCTAGTGTCCATTAGTCAAACCAAAAGTGAAACTTATCTTATCGCTGTGCGTTCATCTTAATCTAATATCTTAAATATCTCCCCCACCTTCATTAGTTTCTACGGGAGCGGTTCACCACTAAACGGCGGTGTTTACAATCTAAAACAGTCCAACAGAAGGTGGCCCGCAACTTTGAAGTTGCAAGTGGAATATTCTGGACTCAGAGGACGGTGGGGTCTGAGTGATTATTCGTTAACCCTGAAAATCAATTAAAAAAAATGAAAATATTGCATTGTATGGCCTTAAAAAATATTACCAGGGCGGCCATCTTGACCCGGCTCCCCTGCAGATCCCGGGAGTCCAGGATAGCCTTTGTCTCCGGGTCTACCTGGCTGACCTATTCAACAGACACAAACCACAATAAGATTTCAGCTTTTTCCTGTGAAATGAAAAAGTAGAGTTTAAAACCTTACCTGAGTGCCCGATGCTTCCTTTGTCTCCTTTGAGTCCTTGAAGTCCAGGTTTACCTGGCATTCCCTCTTGACCCTGCTCACCCTTGTCTCCACGTAACCCTGGAAACCCTGGCTGGCCAACCTGACCCTGTGAAGGAGGGAAAGGTGAATCTTGTTCTTGTAAATTATCTCTTTTTTTTTCTTTTTGATAATCCAATATGGAAAATTCAATCCTGACTTTCAGTGTTTAGAAACAAAATGAAATGATTAAACTGTATCCTTTTAAAAAAATGACCAAAGCACAAATCTGCTCATTCAATTGTTCAAAAGTCAAGTGTTGCCAAAGAACTAGATGGTTTTAACCAGTCAGTTACCTTTTGTCCTGGTTGTCCAGGAAGACCGATGCCTGGTTCACCAGGTAGTCCCCTGTCACCCTTAACACCATCGGCGCCTCTTAATCCAGGATGACCCGGTGTACCAAAATCTCCTTTTGTACCTTTAGGACCAACCGGACCTAAATTCACACAAACAAACCAAAAGAAAAGTGACTTTTCTAAACATTTAACTCATGTTCAATCTTCCATGTAACACATAGAGAAGAATTTCTTGGGAAGCTGACAAAGGTGCATAAGCAAAGAATGTACGTGTGAAAACAGCTCTACTGCAACATCTAACCTGGTATTCCCATCTCTCCCGAGCTGCCTTTCTGCCCAGGTTGTCCGATGATGCCAGGCTCTCCAGGATCACCAGTACTTCCTTTGTCACCTGAGTGTATTCAATCGTATTGACATGGAAACTAATTAAAAACGACTTTATGAAAATAAAACAGTGGGGTAAATTTCAGTTAGCTGATTAAGCGACCTGGTTTTCCAGGTGTTCCTGGTGCCCCATCACTGCCAGGCATCCCAGGATCTCCCTGGACTCCAATGTGGCCTTTCAGTCCAGTGTCACCACGTTGGCCTGATGGAAAAGATAGATAAAAGTCCAAAAACTAGACATGGACACTGTACTTCCTCCCTACAATTTGATTCAAGCTTCATTTCAAATGAACATCTCCACCACAAGAGAAACAATCAAAGGCTAGATACATACCTGGGTCTCCAACATCTCCTTTTTGCCCCTTTAAATGTTCCATATCAACCTTGGTCAAATTCCCGGGAGGTCCTGGAAGACCGTCTTCTCCCCTGTCACCTTTAGGGCCTGTTTCCCCAACAGCTCCTCTTGGTCCGGTAATACCAGGATCACCTGTTGGAAAAACAAAGGTGGAACTTGATTGTTCTCGATAAAGAAATCTTGGGGAGTTCACATCCTAAAGTGTTACCTCTCAAACCAGGAGATCCAGGCGTTCCTGTTGGTCCAGGATATCCTGGGGTTCCTGGTGTTCCCATGATGCCCATTTCACCCTTTGGACCTAAAACACATGAATAAGTTACATTTTTAAAGCTGATGTTTTTCACTGTCTGAATCTTACAGAAATATTATTCTCATTCAGAGATTCATTGAAAATTATTTTAGGAAATTAATTCTAAAAGCTTTTAATGTGTGAAACAGTCTCTAGAGTGACTGTAATGAACAACACAAGTCAAGGGAGTCTGATGCAAATCCAATCCAAACCTGACTAAAGAATATCAGAACATTGAAAAATGTATGTCCACAAAAGAGAAATAAGACTACAAAGGGTCTGTAGGGTAGTTGCAGTGAATGTGTTTTTATTGTCTTACCTTGGCTCCCAAATTGTCCATCTCTGCCTGGTAAGCCTGGTGACCCTGGCAGTCCTTTAGCACCTGGCACTCCTTGGAACCCCGAGCTTCCTTTCTCTCCTTGAGGCCCGGGCATATCGAGACCAGGAAGTCCTGGATAACCTTTTTCTCCCTTCAAACCTTCCCTACCTGTACAAAGTACATAATATATATATATTGCTGAATTTGAAAGTGCAAAAGAAAGCCATGTAATGCCAAAGGTCATCATCACACTGCCCAGCCATCTTCATCAGGGTGCTAAAGGTCAACAGTGTGCTTTCCAATCCAGAACAAATGCTCTGTTTATGACCTCTACATCTGGGGAACCATCATAAGAATGTTCCTCTCCTGCTCCCTTATCTTCTGCTGCAAGTCACATGACTCCTTGAGAAGACAGGACTTTTTAACCCTAATAAAATAATCAAATTCTGTTTTAATACAGTGGGTTTTACTCACTTTACAGATTAATTTCAATCACAGACCAAAGAATGTTTATCTAAAGTGAATTTAAGAAGACTTGATTGTTTGACAGTAGAAATGAATCAAAATAACTGTTTAATTGTTGAAATGCATTCTTTTGAATCTTAAATACACCAAACAAATCTACTTGAGGAGTTTACGATGAGTTTATTATCAATTATGTCACATATTAAAATCATTATATTAACAATGACAGTAAAATCATACTCAAGACCACAAAATAAGTGAAATAGTCCTTTAGGGGTCTCTAGGGAACAGATGTAAAGTCAGGACTTTGACAAGGCCTCCTACATTTTTTCTGGCCTCTGATTGGTCCAACACAGACCTTAAAAGATAGAGACACACTCAAACACCTCTGGTGAAATCAAGCCAGATCTCACAAAAGAACACTTTTAGCAGCAGAGAACCACCATTTTTCAGGGTGCAACAACTTCATCAGATGTAAAACAACCCGTCAGCCACTAGCAGACACCAGTAGGTATCCCACTGACAAGCCGAGCCGGACTGAAAGGGGCCTACGGCCTTTGAATACCCCAGACGTCTAATCAATCATCAGCCTTATCGAGACGACTTCGCTTTGCCGGCTGGATCTCCAGGAACTCTCAGCACTGGTGCATAGATTCTGCCATGGACGTAATTTGGGGGGGCAGTGCTGAGAGTTCCTGGAGATCCAGCCGGCAAAGTGAAGTCGTCTCGACAAGGCTGACGATTGATTAGACATCTGGGGTATTCAAAGGTCGTAGGCCCCTTTCAGTCCGGCTCACCTTGTCAGTGGGATACCCACTGGTGTCTGCTAGTGGCTGATGGGTTGTTTTACATCTGATGAAGTTGTTGCACCCTGAAAAATGGTGGTTCTCTGCTGCTAAAAGTGTTCTATTGTGAGATCTGGCTTGATTTCACCAGAGGTGTTTGAGTGTGTCTCTATCTTTTAAGATAGAGTCCTCAGAAAAGACAGCAGGTGACGAGCCCCTGGGTGTCTGGGGGCAATCCTCTGTGCCAGAGCGTCGGTATCTTACACCCGTGATAAAACAGACATTTGACTGAATTGTGACCTTTACCCTCTTGCAATTTAACCTTCCCCTCACCCCCATCCTAACCTTAACCAGCTTGCGCATGCAAAGCTCTGACCGTTGACGCGCTCCAGACATCTGCGTCCTGAGCACAGCCACAGTAACATTATCAAATCTGGGGTCGCCACCTCCAAAACAAATTTTACACGCAATCATCGTTCATGTCCGCTAATTTCCTTTAATGTTTTCTGTCTTTTATTTGTGCCTGATGCGTGGAGCGGAGCGCATCACCTGTTTTGTCCTCCGGTGATTTCACCTCACTGGTGCAGCCAGCGCGCAGCCCGCACTCCGCTGTTTTTGCACTCGGTAGATCTTTTTGAGTTGCAGTTCAAAGGTAACTCATAAGGTGAATATATATGAAGCCATGTAGCCGTGTTTCTTTAGGATTGAGAGGAGATGCGGGAAGATAATAAATAGAGACAGGACAGAAAAATAGTCAAAAAAAAACAAGTTTGTTTTTGTACCTGGTGGTTGCAACAAACAGACACCATTGAAGGTAATCAGAAGTGAGGAACAGAAAATTAAACAATTATTTTAATGTTTAGAGCAGCAGGAACTCTGAGAGGCTGCAGGCGCATCAGTGAGTCTGCGGCCGCTGAGCAGGGGGAGGGGGGAGATGGCTGAAGCAGGGGAACAGTAAAGATGCAGAAACTACCGTTGTTGAAAGAGATGTGTTTAACTTTCAAAATGTGGGCGCAATTTTAATTGTCAAAAACTCCAGCGAACCAACCCGCTTCAGGTGTATGACGTCATCAATGACTAGTCAAAGTCGACTCGATTTTCATTACTTGACTGTCGACTTTAAAAAAAATTAAGTCATGCAGCCCCTAATCTAAATACACTTTTTCCAAGCTGATATCTGAAATCATCCTGCAGTAAGTTTTTTATTTATTTATTTATTTTTATCACAATCATACCCTTCTCTGAATAAAGGTTTGTGCTCACCATAAGGTCCGGGCTCTCCAGGTGGTCCTTGTGCTCCAGGAGGTCCAGGCAACCCTTTTCCAGGAGCACCTGGTTGACCGGTTTGTCCAGGGCGCCCTGGAGGTCCAATGTCACCTGATTTTAAACACCAAACATCAGTGTTGGTACATGATCCAGATTGGAACCAATAAAGTTTCCTACCAAAGGTTTTGTAATTTAGTTTTACCTTTAAGACCCTGAGGTCCTGGTGCTCCTGTCGGTCCTTCTGGTCCAGGAACACCAGGGAGTCCAATGTTACCTTTCTCTCCTGGGAAACCTGTAACTCCCTGGAGGCCTTGTGTACCTTTTGGGCCTGGAAGACCTCGTCCAGGTTCACCCTTCAAGATGTAGAAAAGACAAATGATTACTGATATCTAATCAAAAGAGGAGCCTGTTAATCTTTTGATCTCACTGCATCTCACTCTTCTTGTTCTCTGTTTAAAGCATGAACTCACAAACACATATTTGTTGAATAATACACACTTTTTGTCCAGGTGGACCAGCTTTCCCAGGTAAACCATCCTGTCCTGGTCTTCCTGGCTCTCCAGGGATTCCAGTGTTTCCAGGAATTCCACTAACACCTAGAAACATGGACAGTTTTTCTTTTGGTTTGAGCATCACTCTCAATGTGTCTGACCCACTTTATTTAATTTTATCTCATAAGGATAACTTGAGTAACATAATATCTCACCTTTAGAACCTGTTGGGCCAGGTAATCCAATTCCTGGAGCTCCATGTTGACCCTTCTCTCCAGGGAAACCTGGCAAGCCAGGGTTTCCTGGGACACCTCTGTCACCTGCAATACAGCAATTTGGATGATGAAGTTAACCACTACTGACATGTTAATATTCTTATTTTCTACCTTGATTGTTTTACTTCACAATTACAAGCTGACAAGATTGATATGCTAACTGATAGCTTTTTAATCGTTTGGTTTTTGTTTTCTTGGTCCCACTTGGACAAGGTGCAAACTTGTTATTCCGATCAGAATCTCTGTTTCTCCAAACTGAGCTTGTAGAAAATGTATTTTTTTGCAGAACGTTAACATTTCAAAACTAATCTTTTAAAGATACACGTTTAAAAAATGTCAAGTAAGCATTCACCTTGGAGCCCAGGTACACCCGTTTCTCCTCGTGGTCCAGGTACCCCCTGAGGTCCAGGAGTACTAACACCAACACCCGGCTCACCTTTTACTCCTGGTGAATGAAAGGTACAGGCACCCAACATATAAGGATGCATTTGCTATTAACTCAGCTTTTGCTTTGAAGGTCATTTATCACATTCATACCAGGTGGACCAGGAGATCCTGGAGTTCCTGGTCTCCCCTGACTGCCTTTCTCCCCCGGATCTCCTGGAAGGCTAAACCCTGGTAAACCAGGAGGACCCCTTTCTCCTGGTGGTCCCGAATGTCCGGGATCTCCATCTAGTCCACGGTCACCTTTAATGCCTTCTTTGGCCTGTGACAAACGTTAGACAAAAGGGATGCAAAAATACATTTCGTTCAAGATGAGTTGGCCAAAGAGCGGATATTTTAGCATAATGGAGTATAAGTAGCATTCTTTATGGGGAATTCATGTAGAAATTAATAATTTTTACTGTAAATGAGCAATTTGTGCTTTGCAATTGTACACCTATTTACACCTGGCTGCACCCCCTGCTTTCCACTGCAGCCTTCTCATTTTTGCAGCAACATTTCTGCTTATCTTCATAAAGTCATTTTTAGTCAAACTGAGAAACACTTATGAAAATTTTGAGATTTTGAAAAGTAAATCAAGCATTTACAGTACAGGCCAAAAGTTTGGACACACCTTCTCATTCAATGTGTTTTCTTTATTTTCATGACCATGACCATTTAAGTGCTGAACACCTCTGGGAACTCCTTTCAGACTGTTGGAAAACCATTTCAATTGTCTACCTCTTGAAGCTCATCAAGAAAAAGCCAAGAGTGTGCAAAGCAGTAATCAGAGTGGCTATTTTGAAAAAAAAAAATAGAATACAAAACATGTTTTCACTTATTTCCCCTTTTTTGGTTAAGTACATAACTCCACATGTGTTCATTCTAGGGCTGGGCAATAAATCAAAAATCTATTGTTATCAAAATTTCTGACCCTTATCGAGATCATTTTTCCCATGTGAATAAATTTGATGAATAACAAATGAAAAGATGTGTGTAGGTTGGCAACGTTCATGCCCCTCTAAGAAGTTGTTCCACCTTGAGTCACGAAAAATGGGACTCAACTTAATACATGTGACAGCCCCATCTAGTGGACAACTTTTGTTTCTGCGCATACTTGTAGTTATCGTTGCCGAGGTGAAATCCACAATATATCGTGATATTGATTTTAGGCCATATCGCCCAGCCCTAGTACATTCGTAGTTTGGATGCCTTCAGTGAGAATCTACCAATGTAAATGGTCATGAAAATAATGAAAACACATTGAATGAGACAGGTATGTCCAAAATTTTGGCCTGTTCTGCATGTTTTTCCAGTCACTTTTGGTTCTAGTGTCCCGAGTCTAATGATAGTAATCCCACCCACTCGTGTACTTACAGGTTCTCCTTTAGGACCCTGTAGACCCGGGAGGCCATCTCTTCCTGGCAGTCCATCCAGTCCTTGACTTCCTTGTAAACCAGGAAAGCCTGGAAGACCTTTCTCCCCCTTATAACCCGGAGCTATGAAAATGTCTCCTGGGTCTCCTACAGCGCCGGGTGCTCCCATGAGTCCAGCAGTTCCTGGAAATCCCTGTACATAGTGTTGAGAAGTTATTCCACGCAAAAATATATTTTTGTCTTTCCATTAACTTTCTTTGCTGGAGATTCCTTAATGTTTTATTATTAGTGAAATATTCTTCTTACGGGTGCTCCAGGTTCTCCAGGAAAGCCAGAATTACCCTTTTGTCCTTTGCTGCCAGCTGGACCAGGAGGACCTTTAAAAAACAGTGGACATCCTTTTTATCATCTGTACAATGGCTTTTTAAATTATCTTTCATTAGTTTAATGATGTTTTGTAGTTTGATTTATGATCATTTTACATTTTTATGACTTTACTCATAACTGCTTCTAAATTTTTTGTGTTTTCTGATTTTCATCTTTACTTCATGATATTTTGTAGTTTTGTTTTATGATCATTTTATGGCTTTTTAATATGTTTTGCTGTTCTTTGAGAAGCACTTTGTGATTTTTCTTTCTGTGATAAGTGCCATGTTAATAAACTTTATACACTTACTTGCATCAAGCTTATTTTAAATTTGCTTTATCGTTGCCAATAATCAATCATATGAGAACGCAGTTATCTCAAACACTCTAGTAAAAAGTAGTTGCTTGTTGATTTGAACAGTGGTGGCAGTGGTGTCTCAAGAGATAAGCAATCATCCATCAATCAGAGTTATTCAATCTCCAGCTCCTACTGTCCAATTGTTACAGAGTCGAGATAGTTAACCTGATTTTGCTTCTAAAACATTCAGTGGTGTTAAGTATATGATTTATATTTACAGTAAAGTCTGAATTTATGTGAATATTTGTGAGCATGGCTTTTGCTGTTATGTTATGCTGTTCTCTACAGAGAATCTCAACTGTCAGAAGACATCAACCCTAAACATCTATGTCACCCTAAATCATAAGAGAAACTGTATAATAACATTTATGGAAACGTTTGTGTCAATGACTTGATCTTAAAATCTCAGAATGTTGTGACGTTGCTTACCTTGCGCTCCTTTAATGCCCTGGGGTCCAGGCGGACCTGAGCCCTCACAAGTGATACAGGCATCACCTCGGTCACCTAAACACAAAGCATCATCAGTCAATAAATAGTGTTGTGTAAAGGGTGTTGCATCACTGTTAGGAAATGTAACCATGGATCGTTTCTGTAGCAGACCGTAGTTGCTGGCTTACACCTGTGATCTGTTGTAATCAATGTGATTGGTGGAGCATAAAAACAGCTATTCCTGGAGCAGTCTCTTGCTTGGTAGTGCAACTGAAAGCAAACAGCTGACTATGGGTGGCAAGTGACTTTCTAAAGATCTCAGGGACAGAGTTGTGAACAGATGTAAGACAGGAGATGGATACTAAATACTAAAATCTCAAAGGCTTTAGCATTCTCAAGGAGCACGGTAAAGTCCATAACAAAGAAGTGTAAAGCATTTGGTGCTAGGATTCCTCCCTGGATTTGGTCGTCCTTCCAAAATGGATGTAATAGCAAGGAAGAATGTAAGAAAATATTGACATGGCAATATATCGTGATTTTTTTCCTGTGATATTATATCAATATTCAAAGCTGTGTATCAAATTTTTGGAGGAATTAACATTTGGCGCAATTGAAACACCGACCGCTAGATGGCAGCAGTGTGCAACGGATTTTGTTTCCACCATTGAAATGTAAATCACTCTATTTTGATTTACACACCTCATGTTAAACATGTTATGTATCAGTTTGGACTGTTTATTGAATTTTCCTACAATTAATTCAGTCTAAAAAAATTGCCAATGTCGTCTGGCTGAATGTATCGTAATATATTGTGATATATCGTATCATCTCCCCTGTATCGTGATACCTATCGTATTGCCAGAATTTCACCAATACACATCCCTACTAGCAAGGAGGACACTGGTAAGAAAATCTACCAAAAGGCCAATGGCCACTCTGAAGGAGCTACAGGACTTTATGGCAAAGAGTGTTCATTTTGTACAAGTGAACAATTTCACAAATGCTCCATAGATGCAGCTTGTTCAGGAAGGTCGCAAGAAAAAAGCTACATCTCAAGAAAATCCACAATAAAGCACTTTTTTATTTATTTTTTTAACAGAATGCACCTTTCTGATGCCAAATGGAAAAATGTCTTATGGTCAGACGTTACCGAAATTTTATGATTTGGCCTTGAAACTAAATAGTACACCTAGACATAAATCCAATGCAGTTCACTACCCATAACACACCATACGTGCAACCTGCAGTTAGGCATGGAGGTGGCAGCATGTTGTTGTGTTTTTTTTTCTCTCTGCCTCAGGGACTAGGGCACTCATCACGGTAAAAATACAACTAAATGGGGTAAAATACCATTGAATTCTTGAAGAAAACCTGCTATCCTCTGGAAGAAAGGTGAAGATGGGCAGAAGAATCACCTTTTAACATGACAACGATCCGCAGCACACATAAAATTTGAACACACAGTGGCTGAAGAAGAAAACAACGAATGTCCTCAAGTGGCCCGGTCAGAGCCCAGACCTAAATCCCATTAAACCAGGGGTGGGGGAACACTGGTCCATCGAGGGCCGCTACCCAGCATATTTTAGTTTCAACCCTGCATCATCACACCTGATTTCAATCAGCAGGTGATGAACAGGCTTCTGCAGAGCTTGATGAGTTACAGAACAGGTGAATCAACTACTGAATCAGAAGTGTTGGAGCAAAGACATGCAGGATACCGGCCCTCGAGGACCAGGGTTCCCCATGCCTGCATTAAACTGTTGTTATTGTTTAAGGTCTGTAGAAAGCTCTTTCTTGTCTTGCCTGGGTCTTTATTTCTAGCAGAGAAAGACCGGTCACACTCCAACTCTTTTCCTGATACACTCCCAAAAATGACCATTATTCAGTAAATTACAGAAAAAGCATAGGAACCGTGTACAAATAACACACCTGGACCCCCTGAATGTGGTCATCAGTCAAAAGATTTTATCTTTATCTCGGCCCCACCCACTAGGTGACATGGTTCATTTCTATCTGAACAATACAAGAAAATGTGTAAGGACATGGCTGTATGACACGTCTTGTACTTTATGGATATTTGTAAATATCATTTGGGTGTTGCAGCTAATCTAAAGTGAAAGAACAAACAGAACCAACCTCATTAAAGTGGACAGATTGTTCCACACGGTCTGATAGAAAGCTGAGTGACATAAGTGGAATGATCCAGCAGTCTGACATTACAGAAATCATCCATTGTATTTGGATATTTTTCACTTGAAAGTTATAGGTTGCATTAGACAAATAAAACTGATGACAACACCTCATTTCAAGGACCACAACAGTCTTTGGTTTGATCAGAGTTCCCCTCGTCATATTAACTTTCATCTCTTTGAATGCATAAAATGCAAGAAAAACAGATTCTTCTACATTTAAAGAAATACTTTACTCATATTTTTATTTGCAGCAGAGGTGTGACCAAGTCACTGCTTTACAAGTCACAAGTAAGTCACAAGTCTTTCCAGTCAAGTCTTGAGTCAAGTTCAAGTCAAAGACAACCAAGTCCAAGTCGAGTCCAAAGTTTTTGATGTAGAAGTCCAAGTCAAGTCCCAGTCCTTAACTTTGCATTTTAAAATCTGTAACGTACCAAAATGGTCAGTTTTCACCTATATATTGATCAAAATGGTGACCTTTCATCTACAGCATGAATCCATTTTCTATTTGGCCTTCTAAATCCAGAATGTTCTGCTCAGTGCATGTTTACATACAGAAGACAAAACATCCAGACAATCATTCTCTCCCAAGGTTTCTGCACTCACTGTCATGATCATGCCCTGACCTCTGTGTTTTCCTGTCACCCTGCAGGAGCAGTCATCTAGCTGATTAATTCAACCTGTGCTGCTCCCTATTTAAGCACCTGGCTCCTGCTGCTCAGTGCGAGATTGTCTGCTGCACTGTCACAGTCCTTCGAGCATTTGAATCATGTTCTGTTACCCCCCCCCCCCCCCCCCCCCCACCACCACCACCACCACCAGGGGGCTGTCTGATACGTTTTATTAACTCCCCTGAGACACCGGAGATTACAGCTTTCATAGACTCTGGGGCAGACGCTGATTTCATTGACATCTGTCTAGCCAAGAAGATAAACCTGAGGCTGGAGACCCTTCCTAAACCACATAAGATCTTGGCCGTCGATGGCCATGTCATAGAGACTATTACTCACCAGACAGAGTCTACATCTGTTGTCATTGCAGGCATTCATAAAGAACAGAACCAGTTTCTGGTGGGTCGATCCTCAGAGGTTCCACTCATTCTGGGTCGGCTGTGGCTCATCAAGCACCAGCCTATCATCAACTGGACCACCGGTGGAGTCCTGGGAGCGGCTTGCCTGAGAACTTGTTTGGCAGAACCATCAGAGACCAAGGTGAGCCCCCTGAATGAGACTATGTATCCTGATCCGTCCCGAGCGCCAGAGGTTGATCACAACCTGGCTGAGGTGTTCAGCAAAGCCAAGGCTACCTCACTGCCCCCCCCCCCCCCCCACACACACACACCGAAGTTTTGATTGCTCCAGGTTTGAGGATGACCTCTTGCATCCCTGCACCTTTTCTCGACAACTCTCTGCGTCTGAAAAGAATTATGATGTGGGAGACAGAGAACTGCTCGCAATTAAGGCAGCACTGGAACAGTGGAGACATTGGTTGGAGGGGTTGCCTCAACCATTTGTGGTATGGACTGACCACAAGAACCTGGAGTACCTTAAGGGGGCTAAGAGACTAAACCCTTGACAAGCTCGGTGGGCTCTGTTTTTTGGCAGGTTTGATTTCACAGTGTCCTATTGTCCTGGGAGCAAGAATCTGAAGCCAGATGCCCTCTCGAGGCAACACCAGACGGGAAGCCTATCCACTGGCCAGGAAGAACCAGAGTGCATCCTGCCCTCCAAGACTAGGTTAGCCCTCACCTCCCTTGAACGGTTACTTATTCAAGCTCACAGCGGTCACCCTCCACCAGATCAGTGCCCTGCTAACCGTTCCTTCGTTCCCGCTAACCTGGTTTCTAAAGTGTGACAGTTTTGTCATGGATCCAAGTTGTTCTGTCATCCAGGAACCTCAAAGACTCTGGTAGTGTTAAGGCCAGCCTTCTGGTGGCCCACCCTGCATAAAGACACCAGAGAATTTGTCTCTGCTTGCCCCATCTGTGCCCGAGTCAAGGTCTCTCGCATACGTCCGGCAGGACAGCTCCATCTTCCCCCATTCCCCGAAGACCTTGGTCTCATATCTCTATTGATTTCGTCACGGGGCTACCAGAATCTCAAGGTAACACAGTCTTACTCACCACAGTTGATCGATTTTCCAAGACGGTTCATTTGTTTCCACTTGCCAGACTACCCATCGCTTTCAGGTTGGCAGAGGTAGTGTCACGAGAGGTTTTCCGACTACATGGCTTACCCGACAATATTGTGTCAGACAGGGGGCCACAGTTTGTCTCCAGGTTCTGGAGGGAGTACTGTGCGCTACTGGGCATTGATGTCAGCTTGTCCTCAGGATTTCATCCCCAGACAGATGGTAGGACCCAACGCATGAACCAGGAGGTGGAGACCAAGCTACGAATCCTCTGCATGGACGATCCTCACAGATGGTCACAGAACTTACCCTGGGTGGAACTTGCCATCAACGGGTTGCCGTCCAGTGCCACAGGTATGTCCCCTTTCCATGTGGTCTATGGCTTTCAACCTCCTGTCTTCTCGCTTCATCAGAGGGAGGCCCAGATCCCTGTGGCTCACATCTCAGCACGACGCTGCCTGAGAGTTTGGCGACAGGCTAGGGCGGCTCTCTGTAAAACCTCGGCTGCCTACAGCCATAATGCCAACCGCTGATGTACCCAGGGTCCCAGATACCTGGTGGGGCAAAAGGTTTGGCTGGCTGCCAAGGACCTGCCCCTCAAGGTGGTCAACAAGAAGCTTGTCATGATCATGCCCTGACCTCTGTGTTTTCCTGTCTCCCTGCAGCAGCAGTCATCTAGCTGATTAATTCCACCTGTGCTGCTCCCTATTTAAGCACCTGGCTCCTGCTGCTCAGTGCGAGATTGGCTGCTGCCCTGTCACAGTCCTTCGAGCGTTTGAACCTGTCTGTCTGCCTATTTATTATTGACCCCTGCCTGCCTGTTGCCCGACCTCAGTCTGTCTGACCACGGAACCCGTCTCTTGCCTCAGTCCCAGCCTGAATCTGAGCACTCACCTTCATCAGCATTCCTCACCGCTGAGCACCCTGCTATTTCCAGAAGGTCAGTCACTCTTCAGATTAAGACATCTGAATTATCTCCCTCGCTGACTGTTTTCCGTTTCCCAGGCCACGCCACCTGGAACCAACTCCAGCTGGTCCCGATCGCTTTAACAAGTCCTTTAATAAACTCTTTAAAATCTTTCTCTGTGTTTGGCTGTTGTTGGATCTGGCTGATCGTCACTAGGTCTGACTGTGACACTCACTATGAAAGCCAGACGTCAACATTCTTCAGTCTGAATAAGTGAAGACTCCACGATTATATAGTTATATGTTACAATATTCATATGTGATGAATGAACAAGATGTTTAAATTAAATGTTTGAATAATGTGCTTAAATCAATGAATTTGAAATGAATATTGTTCTTACAATGATCCATTTATATCACAATTCACTATGTGTTACACATTTTCATGTGTTCATACACATCTTCATAAGATACATATTAAGGTTAATATGCACTTCACATGAGAGTTTGAAAGATTCTCATTCACAGTGTTAAGAATTGTGTATCTGAAGGAAGGCGTGGCTTTCTGAGGGATGTTGGTAGATACTCAGAAACGTGTCAAATTCTGATTGGCCAAACTCGGCCAGAAATCATAACAAAGTAGTTTAATAAAACAACAATTAATTCCTGAGTAATTCAGGTTCCAGCTGACTCCCGATTCGGCCAAATCGGGAAAGAAGCCTCTTTGAAACAATCTCCTTTGACCACCAGTCAAAACCTTTCTGCGAGGCTGCAAGTGATTACAGACACAACAGCTCTTTTCACAGCTACTTCAACTCTCAGACATCCACCTTGGACACCTAATCTGCAGACCCCAGGTTGCATCTCATGGCCGGGGAAGCTGAACTCAGAGGAAGCTACTAATCTCTGAGTATTGTGGTTTCAATGTCCGGTGACCTCACCAATCTGACTGCACCCCTCCGGACCGCCGGAAGCAACAAGGGTATCGTAAGCCTGCATACTGGAGTCTGATGAGGTTTTTATCAATAACTAACTCTCTAGTTTATAACAAACAACAAATTCTTTTACACCCAGATTTCACAATTTCTCTCAGATACAAAGAACGGTTGCTACAACATCTACAGTAGCTTCCATCACAACACCTCACATCCACCACACCACATCTCATTATTCATATCTTGTCATGTATCATCAGTTTAGGAAAAATAATTAAATTCATTTTATAAACTATATACTGACTCTGTCTGAATTAATACGAAGTGTGTTTATGGTCCCTGAATAAGCAAAGAAACCTAGAATCTCTTGATTAAACATTCAAAGATCAATCAGATTGATATTTCATATTTCTATGGAATATCACATCTTATTGGTCATAATTAATATGTAAAAATTGCTACAAGTCATAATCAAGTCATCTGTCCAACTTCAATTTATTGACAATGATAATAAATAAATTCCAGAAATAAAGCTTCTTAAAGCTTAATTTGTTTGCTCAAACAAGCAGAAAGTGCAACTGAAACTGATTATAAACAAAGTGCTGCTGCATTTAGCAGTACAAGATCAAACCCAGATTTTTGTCCATGCCATGCCACTTTTGTGCTAAAATATATCAAATATGCTCAAGTCATCATCAAGTCAACAGATTCAAGTCGATTCAAGTTGCAAGTCATTGGCATTCAAGTCTGAGTCAAGTTGTAAGTCTTTATAGATTTTATCAAGTCAAATCAGAAGCCATTAAAATAACGACTCGAGTCTGACTCGAGTCCAAGTCATGTGACTCGAGTCCACACCTCTGATTTGCAGTGGTCTCTGGTTGGAATGAATGCCTTGTAAGTCATGCAGTAGGGGCAGGGAGCTCAGATGCGCCTGTTTCCGCACGGAGAATTCAGCAGGAGGAAAAAGTAGCTTCATATGACAGGATCTTGTTTCCTGATATTTGAACATCTCACTTCTGATTGGCTGACAGCAACATGACTCTACCACTGACCCCATTTGCTCTGAAATATTGATGTTTTATCTTCACGATTAGGGTGAGGGTTATCTCCACTAACCCTAACACAAGTCTACAGGAGTTCTGCCATGTGGTGGAGTTGCAAATGCTAATGGTTAGCGTCTGGTAGTCAAGACATTCTCCGCTGTTTCCTGGACACTAAAACAACAACTTTCTTCCCTGTTGTCAGTCAAGATGAGTGAGTCCATGACTCTTAAGTGCCAGTGTGACATAAATGGTAACACTTTACAATAAGGTACACAAAATTGTGCTTCGTAACTAGGGAATGACTTAGGGAGCAATGAGTAATGAGTAATGAAGCAGGAAGAATAGGTAGTTAACCAGTAGTTACTGGTGAAAACGCTCATCAGTCTTTTTTCATGGTCTAATAGGTAGTTAACCAATACTTACTGGTAAACACCCAGCAGTTTTATTCAGGGACTAATCTATGAACGCATTAAGGAGCGAATTCCAAATGAATGTGGTGCCTATGGACATTCTTTTGTAAACTTCATGAAGATTGCAGATAATTAGCAACATCACAGTGATTTAACATCACCGTTTCATCTTGATTTCACTCGTCTGTCACTTTGTCGTCTATCGTCAGCATCCGTCCATCTCGAGATAATGGAAAGTAAAGCCTTCTCCCAACTTAGTACCTACTCAGGAACTAATCTGTACCTAATAGGTACTTAACCATTACCTACTGCTTTTGTCCACCTTAAAGTGAAGCCTTCTCCCAAGTACCTACTGAGGAACGAATATGTACTTACTCAATACTTAACCATTACTTATATATGTTGTTACATGGCCATTTACCATAAATACGTTGAGCTTATTTACATATCGTTTTCCTTCATCTTGTGTGTGGTAATATTCCAGAGATGGCGGGTGACCAAAATTCTGCAGGTTACAGTGTTACCTGGCTCAAATCAATCACTAACAAAATGTTTGATGTTAAGAGTATGTTTTTAAATAATCAGAAAAGTACACAAAAATTAACTTTTACATTTATAAACTTTGAAATCAACATGTAAAAACACTCTAAAACTACCTATTCTTCCCTGCTTCATTACTCAGTACCCTTTAAGTCGTTCCCTAGTAAAACACAATTAGATAGTCTCTGAATAAGACTGCTGGGTGTTTACCAGTAAGTATTGGTTAACTACGTATTAGACCATGAAAAAAGACTGATGAGCGTTTTCACCAGTGACTACTGGTTAACTACCTATTCATCCCTGCTTCATTACTCATTACTCCCTAAGTCATTCCCTAGTTACGAAGCACAATTTAGCGTACCTTATTGTAAAGTGTTAGCGGTGTGGGAAAACTGTTTTCATGTTCAGTCTGCATGACAAAGTCAAAGTGACCAATTATAATCAGAAATAATTAAAACTTGTTTTTCTGTGAAGTACCACCTTAAATAAAATACAATCACACTACATATCTGGTCCTCTCTGGACTTGTGCTTCCATCTCCTGCTGCATCTATCAAATGCTTTCCATAGTTTCTCCTTGTGTTGTCCTTAATGAAATGCATATTCTAGTACATCCTCGTGATAACTACATTTTTTATTTTATTTAATTTCATATGAAGAAATGACTGATTCTTACCTTTTTGCCCCATATTCTAGTACATCCTCGTGATAACTACATTTTTTATTTTATTTAATTTCATATGAAGAAATGACTGATTCTTACCTTTTTGCCCATCTTCTCCTGGTAACCCTGGAAGTCCAGGTGCGCCAGGAGCTCCCTTAGCAACGTTACATTCTTTAGGGTCAACTATGAGGGCAACACACAAGCATAAAATTAAATGACGCAAAGTCTTGTGGTTTCATAACAAAGCGGATAAATATGTTAACTTGTATAATTAATTGAATGCATACTGGATGGTCCCGGTGGCCCAGGTGGTCCGATGGGTCCCTGTTTTCCTGGTGGTCCAGGAAGAGGCTCCCCATCAATGCCTCGGTCACCCTTCTCCCCCACTTCTCCTTTTAGACCCTTCTCGCCACGAGGTCCTTCGACGTGGCGGCCTGCAGCACAAAATCCAGAGTTATTCAATTTACAAGATTTTCCTCATGTTTCCTTTATTATTTCAGTGTACTGAAGTTATACCTGGTGGACCAGCCTCTCCCTGAGGACCAATGAAACCTGTTGAAAACATTAGAAAGTTTTATTTTTTTTCCAACAAAGAACTGGAGATAGTTGTGAATGACAGGGTGGAGTTAGATTTTCTCTGGAAATGCAAGCATGCAACTGCCTACAATTTAACAGAATCCTTTAACCTTTTTGTCCTGGTGAACCTGGGGAGCCGCGGGGGCCGGGAGGACCGGGTGGACCGCTGCCCTAAAAGCACACATTGTCAACGACACCATGATTAATTTTAGCTGGATGACATGGATGGCCACCACAACTGTGACGGTTCCTGCAAGCTACATCCTCAATAGAAATTATCCTGACACGGTGCACACACAATACACAAATTTTCTAAAATCGAAATAATATCATGTCAGGGTGCCCAGTACATCAAAATACTGCCAAAATACCCCAAATACACCATAGCAACACAAAATATCAGGCCCGACTCAAAGTTCTGTTAAAGTTTAACAATGGAGAAAAATCACTCACATAACCAGGAGGTCCTCTTTCTCCTTTTACACCCTACAAAAAGATTAAACGTTAGACTGCAGGACATCTTAACAAAGTTTAATTTTATTTATTAGAATCTGAAAGCTCAAGGTGGTGCATGAATTACATCTGAACCCGGAAATCCAGGAGCTCCGGGGAAACCTCTCTCTCCCTGTTGGATGATACGTTGAAGATTAGGAACAGAAATGACTAAATGGGAGAAAAAATCAGATTGACTGCTGTGGTGGATTTATAGTGAAGCAAATATACTTCACCTTAAGTCCATCCTGACCATCTTTTCCAGGTTTGCCCTAAAAATACAGACAATAATACAACTTAAAAGCCCTCTTAAATTTCAGTAAAGTTCCAGAAATTAAATTAAATTAAATAACTTACTCTTGGTCCAGGTGGGCCAAGTTCACCTTTGACCCCAATTTGGTATGGCAAGCAAAAACCCTGCAAAACAAATCAAATGTTCAAAAAATAACCAACTAAATAACTTCATGTGTCTAAAACATGATCTGCAGCAACATCTGAACAAGAAACACCAACTTTCTCTCCTTTATCCCCTGGAGGTCCTGGGTACCCCTGCATAAGTACAAAACAAAAAAAAACAAGGCTAGGATATAATGATAAGCTTTAATAAATGTATGCAATCAAGCACTAATTTATGTGACAGGGCACCTGTGGTCCAGGTACGAGCACTGTGGTCTGTCCTTCTACTCCCTGAGGAAGTCCTGGGGGACCAGGTGGACCTCGAAGTCCTTGGTCACCCTGCAGGGAGATAATAACAATTACAGGGACCGTCACAGCTACAGAAAAGAACGAATAGGGTTGGCATGTTCTAGAAACCTTTGCTGACCAATTAAAACAAAAAGGAGTATATTTTAACAGACTAAAGTCAGTATAAACCCCTCTTTTCAGTCTTTTTAAAATTCTGTCATAGATCCTTGTTAAAAATGATATAATTTAGTCACTCAGTATCATTTTTATGCTGATGATGTTTTGAGTTTCTTTTGCCAACATAGAATAACAATGATAGCTAATGCATGAGCAATACTTCAATAGCTCAAATAGCAGGGAAATGCCTTGCAGTTTTAAAAATTAGAGTGATTATTTTAGAGAAAATGTGAACTTTTGCTCTAATCACTTTTCCATTATTAAATTTTTTAAGACTTACCTTTTCTCCCTTTGCACTCACAAAGGACAACTTGTCACCCTGCAAATAAATGAACGTGCAGTCTGTTTAATCTTTGCAAAGGAACCAAGGCTAAAGTTATAAAATATGTTAAAGTTTCATTGTTCATCGGACGGAGCTTACCTTTTCTCCTGGCGGACCGGGGAGCCCAATGTCTCCCTGTTGATCAGATAATCAAACATCAGGATGAAGAAACAATAACTGAAAACATTCATTCCTTTTAATGGTTGGAATTGATGGCAAATTAATTTGAATGATTCCAACGTTCCAAGAAAAGATGGGATGTGACTCACTTTGGGTCCTGGATATCCTCTGGGTCCTGCAGGTCCACTAGGTCCCTGGAGACCAGAGGATCCCTGAAAGAGATGAACAGGTGTTGGAAGGACTTTCACCGATTTGACATCATGGTTACATACGTGCTTTAATACATACAGGTAATCCAGGTAGGCCAGGAAGTCCTCGGTCCCCTTTAGTGGGAATGATCCCCATCACACCACCAGGGTCTCCCTGTTAAACACCAAGAGTAAGATTTACAATGTTGAGTTATGGACTTCATTAAAGCTTCATAAGTTGTTTTACTTACTTTCATTCCGGGATATCCTGGTATTCCCTGACAAGGAGAGTAATGAACAATTAATAATCAATATTTAATAATTGCATCTTCAGACCCTGTTTTAAGTATTTTCCAGAACAGTAAAGGGTTGAAAATGATGGAAGCTGTTTCTGCTTACAGGAGGACCTTGAAGTCCAGGAAAACCAGGAGAGCCATCTCTTCCTCTTTCACCCTGTAACACACACAGCACACTGTCAGAAGGTGCAAACAACGTTAAACACAGTAGAACTGGAGGGAGCTTACTTTGGTCCCGTTGCATCCTGGGATACCAGGCGAACCCGGTGGACCATCGTTTCCGTTGATGCCCTATGATTAGAATGGAAAAACTGAGTTACGAAATGGATTTTTTTCTGTTCAAAGTGGTAAAGTCTCAACAAACACAATCTAGATCTCCCAACAATGATGGTTCTCTTGGACATGGTGGCTGTTGAGAGGAACTTACTGGGAGTCCTGGGTTTCCGGGCATACCTGGCAGACCATGAGGCCCCTGCAAAATCACAAGCATGTCTGGATTTACTCTCTTAAAGCAAAACTAGTGGTGCCATATTTATTAAAAGTGATAAATCATAACATACTATACGGCTGCATTAGAATATTTATAATTACTTACTCGCACTCCTTTCAGTCCAGGAGCTCCAGGTGAACCTAGGTCTCCCTATTCAACAAATAAAATCAGAAATAACAAATCATTCACAACTATTCATGGACAGCTAAAAAAAAAATTCTAAAGTCTTGCAGAGTGCTTTTATTGTGCAAAACAATCATCTTTAGGCCTCTTAAGGCTTTTCTGTGCTTTAGTGCCCCATGCTCTGTATGTAGAGCTGCAGTATATCTCTAAATACTGAATTAGTTCATATAATTGGACTGAACAGTCCTACCTTTGGGCCCATTGGCCCAGGTGGTCCCTCATGTCCCTGCATCCCTGGGAATCCCATGTTACCTTGAAGACCAGGAAATCCACGCTCACCCTGGAAAACACAAATAAAAAAAATACTCAATACCTCAAGAAATGTTTCCATATTTTCACATATTTGAACATTTATGTACCGTAAATCCTCTAATACAGGCCCGGGCCTGTATTTGACTCAAGCTCATCAAGCTCCGGGCCTTTATTGGAAGGAGGGCCAGAATTAGAGGCAGGCCTCAATTTCTATTTGAGCAAAATGAACTAATGGTTCGCTGGAGTTATTGACAATTAAAATTGCGCCCACATTTTCAAAGTTAAACACATTTCTTTTAACAACGGTAGTTTCAGCTTCAGCCATCTCCCCCCTCCCCATGCGCAGCGGCCGCAAACTCACTGATGCACCTGCAGCCTCTCAGAGTTCCTGCTGCTCTAAACATTAAAATAATTATTTCATTTTCTGTTCCTCACTTCTTATTACCTTCAATGGTGTCTGTTTGTTGCAACCAGCAGGTACAAAAACTAACTTGTTTTTATTTGACTATTTTTCTGTCCTGTCTGTTTATTATCTTCCTGCATCTCCTCTCAATCCTAAAGAAAAACTGCTACCTGGCTTCATATATATTCACCTTGAGTTACCTTTGAACTGCAGTTCTAAAAGATCTACCGACCGCAAAAACAGCGGCGTGCTCGCCAGCCGCATCAGTGACGTGTGTCACCGAGGACAAAACAGGTGATGCGCCCCGATCCACAGCAGCGAAACGCATCAGGCACAAATAAGACAGAAAACATAAAAGGAAATGAGCCGACATGAACGATCGCGTGTTAAATTAGTTTTTGAGGTGGCGACACCTGATTTGATAATGTTACTGTGGCCGTGCTCAGGACGCAGATGTCTGGAGCGCGTCAACAATCAGAGCATTGCATGCGCAAGCTGGTTAAGGTTAGGATGGGGGTGAGGGGAAGGTTAAATTGCAAGAGGGTAAAGGTCACAATTTGGTTAAATGTCCGTTTTACGGCAGGTGGTCAGTACCGACGCTCTGGCACAGCGTGTTGCCTCCCGACGCGCAGGAGCTTGTCACCTGCTGACAGCAGGCTGCTGTCTTTTCCGAGGACTGCATCTTGCCAGTCATTATCACGTGACAGCGACTGGTCGATGACAGGCATAAAAAGTCACTATAGTAAAGTCGACTAGTTCATACAACCCCTACTGCTCCCCAGAGTGTTCTGCAGCATAATCAGCACATTCTCTTTGAACTTGATATCAAAATTTCGCCTCCTCTTCATCCCCGCATCTGCCATGGTTAACGTTACCCTCGCGGTCTATCACTGGCAAATCAAAAGTGAGACGGATGACACAACCTTCCCTCCGTGACACTTGATACGAAACTCCTGCCCCGGTTCTACTTTTCTTTATTTAGTTTTTATGATTCAGTAGCTCACTTTTTAACACCTCGCACTATTTTTAGCATTTTTGGTTTTATTTGTGCCATTTCAAACGTTTTTTTAATAGGAATGCACCGATATAAATTTTTGGGGCCGACACAATATCTGATATTAATATCACTGTTATGGCCGACAACCGATGCCGATTTACGTTTCTGAATTAGGCAAATTTTGTATAGACTAAAATTATGCAAGGTGAATTTTTAAATGTTTTGCTTTATTTCTATAAAGAGGAATTTGCAATATGTTATATACACACACACCACACACATTTACACTTCTGAGATGATTACCATCGCTGTCACAGGACTAAATTATTACACATTGTCACCCACCCTTACCCTCTGAAACAGATACACAAACGGAAACAAGATGAAAAAATATGGGTTGGTAATCTTGGCCCAGTTTTATTTATCGGACCGATACCGATATTGATGCTGATAAATTGTCCATAAATAAATCGGTATGGTATGTTAATGCCATAACACTGTCTGATTAATCTTAGGAATTTATATAAATATTCTTCCTATTGTACTTGAGTGAGTTATCTATTTTTTTAAATAAAAGTAAAAGCATCAACATGACCTGGACAGTGTCCTAAACTGACACACAGACTTTCCTCTGCCTGCCACCAGGTGGCAGCATTGTACTGTGATGGGGATCCAAGGAAAGCCAAACAAGAAGAGGAAAAACATCCATGTTGAAAGTATTATTTTAGGATTGATTTCCACAACACCTGGCTCGCATCAGTCAAGAAAAACGTTGCATGTTAAACAATGGAAATAACCACTTGGTTACCACGGCAACTCCCATTATAAATCGATGACTTCATTGGGAAAATAGACCACTAGGGATGGTTCAGGAAGGCCTTTCAACAGTTTTGGGTGGAATCTACTGTTGTTACATGAGCTGAATGTTTTTCTTCTGCTGCTGCTGTGGGAATCAGTGGTAAAAAGACCAAACTGCTGCACTAAGGAGGCTAATAAAATGTCTGATTCAGTTTAGGCAATATTGTGATTGTACACTCAATAACAGGAAGTAAAAAATATAATAAGTCTACTAAACTGCCACCCTAAAACAGTGATTTTAATCACTTTATTAACATTTTGGTAGAAATTCTAATTAAAAAAAAGTGCTGTCACTGCACAAAAACCATCAATGATAAATCATCTACATTTGTACTTTATGGGATCCCCAAGTTCCAAATCAATGGTTTTATGACGTGTTTTATTTAAATATCAGAGTAAAAATATGATAAATACGTAACAATATCATCAGTAAAAAAAAAAATAAAGAAGATTATGTTGTCTGTAAGGTAATTAATAAGAAGTTAAAGTTATTTATTCATGTTTCTGGTCAGTGTTTCCCAGTATTGCCCGAGTGCTGACAGCTCCAGGCTCACAGCCAGTTTGTGGCCACTTGTACATCACTAAATCACAGCTTCACATAATCTGATGGGATTAAGGCCTTCAGCACAGCTGTGTGCACCGACATACTCCAATTGAAACTGATCTTTGTTCACGTCCAGGCCTCTTCTCCATGACTGAGCTCTTGTGTTTCCACCCAGGCTCGCCTCAAAGTCCGTCCCTCTGCGCTTAACCCTGTTAGTCAAAACTCTGGAACACTTGTCATGTTTTGCTGTTAACTCCTAAAATCTGTCATTTTTATGTGAATCCCCCAAAATCGAACTTGTGTAAAATGCAAGTAGAGATCTCACCTTTGCTCCTTTGACACCGCTGCAGTCACATTTTCCACAAGAAGTTCCACAACCCTAAAGATGAAGAAACAGAAACATAAAAATGAATGATCCATCTCATTGGGGGGGGGGGGATCATATATATTTTTGGCCACTTGGGAGCAGTAGAGGTGAGTGTAAGCAATCGTATTTGTATTTTCTGAGCTTGCAGGTGATACAACCTTTAACATTTGTTTGATCTAAAAACTCAATCTATTTAGTTCATTAATGAGTCAATCAAGTTCAAGATGGCCACAACATCTGGTTGACACAAGAAAACACAAAAAGGACTAAAACGTTGTCATGTTTATGGATATTGAGCTCACACTTGGTGTGATTGTAGCCCAAAGTTGGCTTTGCTCATTTATTTTAAACAACTGACTGTGCAAGGTTAAGGCATATAAAGGCTGGTTCACACAGCAGGATTTTTAAATATTTTCTAAGCTTTAAACCACACACATGGTGATGAAAAATCATAGATGTACCGGTTTTAGTCATAGTGTGTGGTGTGCAGAAACACGGTCTATAACACCCATTACACACAAACTGCTCTCACTGAGGGACGTTCCCCATCAAAATAGGAAATCTCGCAATATAAAACGTGACTTTAAAGTAAGCAAACACGGGAGAGGAGGAAAGCACTGCGTGCTTCCGTCACCTCGATTTCCAATATGTTAGATATCCCTTTCAACAGACGGTGTGTTTTATGTCCCCAAAAACCAGACCAAGATAATCCAACATGTTTGAAAGCCTGGATATATGATCAGAGCGGTGTCGACGTCCTTCTGAGCGAATCAGAGCGTTCATATCACACCACCAACGGTAGGATTATCTGATAAGACTATCTTTAGAGCCGTTATGGTGATCATGCACATCCTGGAGATTGTAGGACGGGGTGGAGCTGGTCAATAATCAAAATATCCTCCGTTTGAACTGGGCTTTGCATTGTCACTGAATTTATCTGAAATAATGAATTTATTAAGGCAAAAAGCGTAACTGTAGCCAGCTGAAAATTTGTTGAATGATTATTTATGACTTTTCAATAATGGTTTTACTAATACATGTTCAAGAGAAGTTTCATTTCACTGATTACATTATCACCAGAACTGTGGTATATTCCAGCTTCAGCCAGGGATCACCTATTCGTGGAACTAAACTGCAGCCAGTAGGACACTGGTGCAGCTGGCCTGGGCTCTCCACCCTCTTGAATCCCACCCTGCTTCCTTTCCTCTGAGGTCTCCAGAGGCCAGAGCCTGGGAACTGGCTTGCGCTGCCTTGGCTTCGACTTCCATTGCTCCTCTCTTCCTTTTCTCTCCATCTTCCAGCTGTTTCTAGAATCACGTGTGAGTACTCCAGCCAAAATGCTGTCAGATCTTGGACTGGGTCTGAATGCTTGGGAAGACAGTGCACAGCTACACTAACCGCACATATTTCTGTCTGTTTTTGGTTCTCAGAGACACATAAACCAATAAATAGCTCTGTTACTAATAATCACGTCCCTTTTCCTACTTTCTAACCTTGACATTAAACAGTTTTAGTCAAAGCTTCAGCTGTCTCTTCATAGCCAAGAATATCTGTTATATTGAATCAATATGTGGCACAAACCATGGGAAGCCTCGGCAACCACAGCATTCCCAGGACTTCTTGCAGCCGCCTCCAGTGCACTTGTTCTCCTCTCTCTCTTTACATTTATTGCACATGTGTGGCCTGCTACACTTTCCCTGTACCACCATGCTAAAACACCTCTCTCTCAGTCAATCTCACTTCAACACCTCCAGCTGCCTAATTTGTTCTACTTTTTTCCCATCATGCCATAAGTAAACTTAACAAACACCTGCTTGAGACCAGATTTGCGTCAAAAAACAAAGAGAGGAAATAAAATTGAGCTTGTGAAAACAGCACATGTGGGTTTTATCATGATAAATCCTCTCAGAATTAAGGCTCCTGCTGGATTAAAATAATCATTCTGGCAGCTCACCAGAGAAGTAAAAGCATGTTAATTCAATGGTAGAGAATGTAAATCACAGCTGTTTTTCTCCCTTCCCTCATCTGCCTATTGCTGTTTAGTTTTCGTCACCCGCTTTCAGACACAACTAAAGTCAGCAGACGTTACTGCATGCTGGAGGGCCCGATCAGGACAACAGAGGCGCATGAAAAGCTCCACCCTGGTGCATCTGCTGGATCTCCAAACTAAAGTGCTATCTGCTGGTATAGAAGGGCTTTGCTTTGATTTCCTACTCTGTCATAGAGGTGAACGCACTTGGTCATGACTCTTGAAACCAAACAGATGTCAGAAATCTGAGATCTGTTTAAAATGGGTTTAAGATCTTATCTAGAAGTCTTCAGGTGAATGAGACAAAGAGGTTTAGTTGTAGAAGCCAGGAAGCATTTGAACAAGACTGCCTTTTCTACTTCAGAGATAGCACACCGCGTAAGTCAGGATCTTTCTATTTAACAAATGGAAAATATGAGCAATGACTCAAGACCTTTGAACAGAAATCAATATTTTTTAAATTTACTATAACATTTTGTGTAGAAAATGTCAACAAGGATCTGAAGAATATAGAAAAAAATCCAAATATTTTTCTTCTGTTTTACTTTCAATCACTACAAAAATATTTTCTAAACTTAATACAAACATAAATATGATATATATATATAAACATGGGCTACACAGTGATGCAGGGGTTAGCCTTGTTGCCTTGCAGCAAGGAGGTCCTAGGTTCACATCTTGGCCCGGGGTCTCCTTGCAAGGAGTTTGAATGTGTTACCTGTGCATGTGCAGTCCAAAACATAACTGTCAGGTAAATTGGCCCCTCTAAAATTGTCCTTAGGTGTGAGTGTGTGCTTGATTGTTAATCTTGTGTGTCTCTGTGTTGCCCTGCACTAGGCAGGGAGATAGGCTGCATATAGGCATAGGTATAGTATAGTATAGTATAGTATAGTATAGTATAGTATAGTATAGTATAGTATAGTATAGTATAGTATAGTATAGTATAGTATAGTATAGTATAGCATTGTATAGTATAGTATAGTGTTGTATAGTATAGTACAGCATTGCATAGCATAGAACACCTTGTCTTCTCATAGTGTAGTGTAGTAAAGTAGAGTGTAGTATAGTGTAGTATAGTATAGTATAGTAAGTATAGTAAGTATAGTAAGTATAGTATAGTATAGTATAGTATAGTATAGTATAGTATAGTATAGTATAGTATAGTATAGTATGGTGTGGTGTGATGTGGTGTGATGTGGTGTGTTGTGGTGTGGTGTAGTATAGTGTGGTGTGGTGTGGTGTGGTGTAGTATAGTATAGTATAGTATAGTATAGTATAGTATAGTATAGTATAGTATAGTATAGTATAGTATAGTATAGTATAGTAAAGTTTTGTAAAGTATAGTATGTTCATTTAAACAGGGATAATGTACACTTTGACATTAACCATGAAGGGAAAATGCATTGATACCTGGTTGTAGCAGAGATGCTAATTTCCACCTGTGCTTCCTGGGCAGCTTTATGCTGCAGTCATAAAACTAGACTAATTAAGCATATAGATTAATGTTTGTCCATATCATTAAAAATTATTTACATACATACAGGATAGTTTAGCTACCCAGAACACCTCTCCAATAACTCAAAACAATCACCCTGAATGTCAACTATGAATGTTATCCAAGATTAAAATCTAAGATCAGAATGTTATTTATTGTGTGTTGATGATTGAGTTATCTATCTAGTTGTTCAAAGACCTAGTTCGGACGTCCTACAGATGTGGTCTGGACCGACAGACTCAATATAGACATGATATGCACGTCCGTGTAACGTTGACTGTTTGCAGGGATAGTTCCATGTTATTCGGTCAGACAACAAACAATATGAGCACATATTAAATCTTTGAGAAATATTATTGATCTTACTTCAAATGACCTGAGGATACTTTCTGAAAAGACCCAGTAAGTCCTGAGACTCGTGATGTGAATGGAGCAGGAAACTGTGAAAGCAAAGATGTTTCTCTGTATTAATGAGTATTATTGTCCCTATGCAGTGTCTGGTGAGTCAGTAAGCTCTGCTTCAGATCCAATGAACTCCTGCAGCAGATGGTCTCACGTGTTCCTACAAACAAGGGTTTGTTTCATTCCCAAGTCCAGATGTCTCCAAACTGTGAAAATCACCCTGATGTGTGCTGGCAGGCAGCTTACTTTGACCGGTCACAGCACAAAACTGTGTCTTATCATAGTCCTGTGTTTATGACTGAGTGTTTGTCATTGTTTACTGAGGTTTGAGCTGCTAAGGAAACAGGAGCTGAACGTTTGTTTTCACAGAATGCAAAAAAAGAAGAAAACAGATGCCAGCAGAAGAGGATATTGGATGAAGGTAGGCTCCGAGGCACGTTGACAGGTCAAGTGTTCTTGAAGCTGGGATTTGTTCTGATGTCATGTGTCAAAGGTGACGGGGATTCCATCAGGTGGGACCTTTGATCCATCAGCACCTCTTTGATACGTCTGACATCAGTGGGCACAGGAAAGCCTCCATTTCAGGAGGGGAAGTGATGAGTAGTGTTTGCTCTAAAGATTAAAGGCTTCAGCCAGAAGACAGTTTGCTCCAGAGCTCCTGACATTAACACAATCAGTCTCTATTACAGAGGTGACCTCATGGTGCTGTTTTATTACCACTAATAGAAGCTAAACTAAAGCAGAAGCATGGACAAATTGTTACAGGATGGCATCAGTGAATCTGATGTTTTGTTCAGTTTTAAACAGCTTCCATTATTGACCTCATTCTGCTTCTTTCTGATGTAGTGTTAGCACTTGAGCTAACACCAAAATAACATGTTGCAGCTTCTGCAAAGGGTCCTGGTTAAAGCAAAGATTAAGAGCAACATTTAAAAAGGAGGCTCATTGAGATACCGTTTTTTTACTTATTTTATTAATCAGCCACTCTGAATTTTACACGCAGGCTGAACGTAAAAATAACCTTCTACCCCTATGTCCTGCATTAGCTGCCGAAAGAAAATAGACGGGGAAACACTTGGGTCAGAA